TTATCTCTCACCACACGTTTATGTTCCATCAAATAACTCTGTCTCATAACATTACAAACCAAATTTTATCTCAAACTATGAACCACATACATGACCATTTTTCACATCAAGACCACATCACTCACAACATTACAAACCTAACTTGCCTTCTAACTTGAATCAAGGATTTAGCAAACGGAAAGGTAAAGGTCAACATTTCCTTAAACTAAAGGTTATACGCCAATTGTGTGGGAAATCAAGACATGTTGTGTTGCAATGTTAACATAGGTTTGACACATCATTTCAAGGAAATCAGAACCATACTCAATACTATGAAACCAATTTAAATAGCTCATCTCAGAAAAATCATCCTGTAGCTTCTGCTCAAGCTTATTTTGTTGTTCTTAGATACTCTCATAAGTCTGGATACACAAATACTTATGTCATGAATTATCTACCAAATTCAATAACTTCATATCAATCATCTGAATTTAGTCATAGATTTTCTTCTCAAGAAACACCAATCAAACCAACATAGGAGTGTGTTACCTCAATGCCATAAGGTTATGAATCTCACATCAGTCCAACTCACATGATAACATCTTCTTCAACAGTAATTGATCCGAATTGGTACATTGATTTTGGAGCAACTCATCACATTGCCATAGAGTCTTAGAACTTGCCTTTGAAAACTAATTACAATGGACCAAATCAGTTACAAGTAGGCAATGGCCAATACTTGAACATATCACACACAAGTTCAACGATTTTCCCCTACTAATATAACAAGATCATTGTATCTCAAAAACATTTTATGTGTTCCTTAGATTACTAAGAATCTCCTTAGTATCTCCAAAATAACAAGAGATAATAATGTCTTAGTAGAGTTTTCTACTGACGATTGTGTTGTGAAGGACAAGGTTTCGCAGGAAGTGCTACTTAGAGGAGTTCTTCGAAATGGATTGTATCAATTGAACATTCCTTTTATTGCAATTGGAAAAAGCATTGGACATCAGTAATATGATCAACCATCTTTAGCTTTACATCAATCCACTACTCAAATATTTTCAGATCTCACTGTTGCTAACATTGGCTCTCTTGTTGATACAAGTTATATGTCTGATACGTGTAATAAAAATCATAGTACCCGTTGAAGAAATAGATGAAGAAAATAAAGCCCAATTGTTATGGCATAGACGTTTTAGGGCACCCCTATGCTATTGTACTTGATTCGATTATGTTTCAAATATCTGTAAATCACAGACATATCAATAAAATGAGTTTTCGTGAAACATGTCAGTTTGGAAAGCTCCATTAGAGTGTATTTGCTTATACTACAACTAAGTCTACTGCACCTTTTGAACTTGTGAATGCAGATGTGTGATGACCTACCTTGGTTAATTCCTCACTTGATTACAAAAATTACTTATTGTTTGTTCATGATTTCACCAAGTATACATGGATTTATCCTTTGAAACTCAAGTCTGAAGTAGCTACTATAGTCATGCAATTTCACAAACTGGTGAAACAACAATTTTACACCAAAATAAGGACCTTAAGTCAGATTGGATAGGAAAGTTTAGACCTCTAGTCACTTATTTTACTAGTCAAGGTATTCATTTTAGACATCTTTGTTCACATACTCACCAACAAAATAGTAAGATGGAGAGGAAACACATACATGTAATTGAAATTGGGTTGACATTGCTTGCTCAAGCCTCCATGCCTCATTATTGGTGGTACTCCTTTCACACTACTGTTTATCTTATAAATAGATTACCTTAACCTATGCTAAAAAATCATGCACCATTTAGCTCTTGTTTCAAAAAGATCCAGTTTACACTCTTTTGAAAACTTTTGGATGCTTATGCTTTCCATTTATCATACCATACCAAAAACACAAACTCTCTTATCACACTGAACGATGTCTCTTTCTTGGATATAGTTTCCATCATAAAGGCTGTCTTTGTTTGAATAAGTATGGGAAAGTTTACATTACTGTAGGGAAGATGTTAGTGAGCATCTGAGTCTCAAACTGAGGGATGATGTTAAAGCAGAGAAGTTGTTTTAGTCAGAAAGAAGCTAAGGTAGTTAATATGTAAAAACAGAGAAACTGGTTTAGTTAGAAAGAAGCTGATGTTAGTTATAAAGGTCAATGAGTGTTGTAGCTACTAAAGAACAGATCCTACGGTGTTATTATGCTAAGAGTGTGTTTGTTTGATTAAAATGAAATGCTGAGATTTTGTAGCTAGTTATTCACAAGGATTACCAGCCTGGACTAACTTGTATTATATAAACACTTTTTAAACTCTTTTGATCTGACTTGAAATAACACGATAGAAGTAATTTTTTTTTTTTTGTTTCTCTCAAAGTTTCTTGTTCTCTGTTTCTTTCTTTCTTTTGTGTGAACTTCTTCGTGTATATAGATTCACATCATAAGTCTTTGGAATTTGGGAATTTAGTGTCATTTGGAGAAGTTATTGTTACTATATCAGATTTTTAAGATTAGAGATTTTCAGTGTCATGCCAAATATGAAGTATAAACACTCAAAAGCTCGCCAGAAAAAATTGTGCATTATCATCTTCATTTTCCCAGCTAGAGCCGGCTATAAAAAGTACATTGTTATCTGGAAACAGTGGCAATTTACTCTGATATATGCCTTTTGACACAGGAAGATATAACCAAGGCTTAGCCTAGAAGTTTTAAAACCCTAGTTAACAAGTGTCAGCGGTAGAGTACATTAGAATGTTTCCATCTTTAATTTCCGACAAAAATCAAAGCATATGCAAAGTAAAGAAAGTTTGGTCCAAAATAATATGAAATTGCAACTTGGGTCAATCCATGATTTATGTGAACTTTGAGAATATAAACATGGAAAGGGACAGAACTCTCCCCCCTCAAGAAAAAAAAAAAATGCATATCTTCCTTAATTTCCTAGGGTGGAGAAATTTGAGAATTATGATGACGTTCATGTGCACCTGTCTTAAACTAAAGTTACTTTATCATATACAAATGTTAACATCGCAACTAGAAAGAAGCCATTTTCAATTGTCTGATGACTCAGTAAAGTGACATTTCATTTGTTGGGATGATAAACTAATGAAAAAGTATACATCATAAAAACTTATTCTTGGTCTAATCACATTTATCATTTGTTGATGATTGACACCTGGCCAAGCTCGTAACCTGAGGCATAATTGCTGCACTAATTTAATATTAATCTTGAATTAGGTGACTTCTTAATCCAAGGACCTTAATACAATTTAAGGCGAGATCGAATCTTATTGGTCTAACAAATCACGTTCACATGGGCTTCAGCCAATAGCAATTTCTGAATAGGGACAGTCACCAAACCTTTATGATTATTGGTGTCTTAACTGGCCCCTAATCTGTGCATAGATGTGGTCAACAAAGTAATTAATTAAGTATTAAAATCTAAAGTGATAATGAAACCAAGATGTGGGTGATACATTATACTAATATATATTCTTCATTATCTTAGTAGAATATCTCCTTTATATTTACACATTTGACGAAGGTTAGTACGGACTGTTTGCCATTGGCTTTGAACGATACAAGCGTGCCAATCCTTCCCTCGATTGGCGGATGCTTAATCTAGGCTTTCACATGTGTGTGTCAGTGTTTGCAAGATTAATTTCATGCAACTTGCATTATATAATTTCTCCTAAATTATATCAATAAATTGAATTTGATGGGTATTTTATGTTCTTTAAAGATATCACATCTTTCCTGTAATGCTGATCTCAGGGTCAAGAAAGTATAGAAAAGGCAAAGATCGAATTGGCATTTTGAGGCTGTGGATTAATTCCTTTTGGCACCTTTATAGATAAGGAAATTGACTGTGTGTAAACGTTTTCTATATGTAATTTGTTGCTTTTGATTATAAAAAGTAATGGAAGTTAGATTAACTAGAGGGAGTTCCGATCCAACTACCAAATGAGAAAAATATTTAGGAACCAGAAAACGTGCAACAACCAAGAAAGAATAAGTCCTTTACATTTGGATTTGCATATGAATCCGATTTATCTTTACCTAATTTGGAAACCTCAAACAAAACCATTTTCTCTAACCCCAATGTTTTGTCTGACACGTGGAGAATCCCCCGAAATTAGTTTGTTTTACCCGACCACCTGCAAACTCACCAGCTTTTGGATTTAGATTGCCTTCAGTAATTTTGGCTGAGTTAAAAAAAGAATTAGGGTTACTTGGGAAATGCAAGTGTATAACACCTTAGTAAAAAAAAGATATAAAAAGACTTGTGGATATATTAATTAAATATTATTTGACAGATTTTGGCAACATTTCTTGTTAATTGTACAAGAAGCATTTTTTAAAGCTTAAAAAGAAAATTATGTTTCGCAGTATATTTTTCCAAATTAATATGCACGTCTAATATTGTATCTTATACATCCAAAAAGAAAGAAAACAACAACAAATATGTAATTGAACATTATGTATACGTATACCATTAATCTAATTTAAGGAGCGCTCACCATATCTTTAATTTCTTCCTTTATCAAAATATATTAAATAGTAATTAAATGAAACATGCTTCTGCTTTTAGAATAGTTAAAAATTATATAATGCTAATCTCAACTTCATAGATAAACTATTTACAATAAAACTACACTTACAATTTTTTTATACAACTTTTTTATAGAACCCTAAAGGTGGTAGTTCACAATTAATTAGTTTGTATTTGAGTAGACGGAACGTACTACGAACTGATCAATCTTAAACTACTATATTAGGGTTGTATGAAAAAATTGTAAGTCTAATACTGCTCAATTATTTAAGACTAGAAAAAATAAGATAATATTGATATATTTATATTTCGATGTGATAAGAAAAACTCGTATTTTCACGTGTCATCGATAAACCACGTGTCATCGATAAACTCGTATTTCCACGTGTCATCACTGTATATGGTGACGGCACAATCAAAATTTTCTACATACAATAAATGTAAAGTAGTCTAAATGGATCTCCCTGTTGTACCCCTTACAGTACTTCAAAATCACTCCATTAATATCCCCAGTAGGCATTTATGCGCCCCACAATCATTTGTTTTCTTATAAAGCTGTTTCATCACCAAAATCACTAACTGATCCTTTCTAAGTCGTCCTTGGGGCTCTCCACAGTAAGTTCTTCTAATTTCTTCTTGTTATGAAGGTAATAGTAATCCTTGATTTATCCTTCAAAATGAACCAACTCTGTATCTTTTCATACTGTGAGCAGAAACCCTAGAACACAACTGACAAAGGATGGGGAGGGGGAAGATTGCGATCCGAAGGATCGATAATTCTACAAGCAGGCAAGTGACTTTCTCAAAGAGAAGAAAAGGATTGATTAAGAAGGCAAAGGAGCTGGCAATTCTTTGTGATGCAGAAGTTGGACTTGCCATCTTCTCAAGCACAGGAAAGCTCTACGAGTTTGCAAGCACCAGGTTTGATATTATGTCTTGCTTTTTTTTAGTTCTTGTTAATAAGCCATCATATTTTGGAATCAAGAAAGTCTTCGGACCTGAATCATATATATCTTCCTAGACTTCATGACTGCATAAATGTTCAGTATATCAAAACTTTAACTGGTTTCTTTCTGCTGTTTATTGATTTCCTTACATTTAATACAGTCAAAATTTTCATTTATAAGATTTGTATTAGCTAGGTTTAGGTTTGGACCGAAACATATTTTGCAAGGTATCACTTTCATTTTTACCAGCAAAAAAATGAGACTTTCGTAGGAGGCATGGCCATACATGTTATGTTTGTTTTCTATAGGAAATGAAGAGCTGCATCATATATAGCAGAAATATACCCCATATAGTCTCCCTGTTACGAAAAATTAATGGGATGCTAAGCCTTGAGCTGATTTGGTGCCATAGAATGCGTCATCAAAACCAACAAAATTCCAACTCCGGTGCAGAAGAATGGTGGGGAAAGACCGAAAGATGGAGTAAACTGATAAATGTAAAAGGCAATTACGAGAGATAAAATTCGCATCCCTAATTTGCTTATACAATGTGTTATATCATCCGTCTCACGGTCTCACTCCTTCAGCTATAGCTTGGAATATGTATAGTTTCCAAAATCGGCGTTCAACAGGTAAAGTGAACACGAAATTTTGTTTTATGTTTGAAACTATGGAATAGATAAGGGATATTGCAAAAAACAAATAAAAGATATAAATAGGACTGATTTATCATTATCTTTGATTGACATAAGGAATGAAAAGTTGAATGTGGTTGTGGAGAATTGCATTCAACATAAGGGGAGGCGTACACAAAAAGATAACTGAATCTTCTAGTCCTTAGCCCTTTCCTTATTCATCTGTAAATTTGGATTTAGTTAGTGACGAGACTGTTCTCTAGCGTTTAAGCCTTCACTGCTTCTTTAAATAATAAAACTACATAATGATCTAACATCCTCAGCTCATCAGTTCAACAAAATATTTAAAGGTACTGTACATATATCATATATGTAAGTTCTTTAGCCCTATCCAAGAGGATATCTTGCTTTCTAATTAGCTTGAATTGCATGATTTATATTCTATATTTTTATCCCATCGTCAAACTGGTGTTTCTATATATAATATCATTTCTTCGTTTGCTTGTGTTCTTTTCATGACCTTAATGGTGCTAAAACTTTTTGATCTTCTACCCAGCTACTGGTGTTTGATATATATCGTATACTCTCCATGCCTTAAGTTGCTTTTCTAATTGTCGATAGAAACCCATAATTAATCATCGTATGATCCCATTAGCATAGCATCCCTATTTTTATTTTTTATTTTTTTATATAAGATAGTGATTACATTGAACAAGCAAATTAATATTGCCATCTGCATGCTTTAAGGGATCCACTAGTACAGCTAGTTATAGCGTTAGGTAGAAACCTTTATCATATTTTGAACTTAAAGCTAATATTTAATTTCGATTTAGGACCATATATAAAATTTTGTATTATCATACTCCACCTTGGTCATTATAAGGAAAATAATTTTCTCCACTAACAAAAGTTATTGATGATTGATAATTAATAGGTTAATTTATATATTAAAGTCCAATTGATCATATATTAATAAATTACTGTTAACTTATGTAGCAAGCTTATATCTTTGTTGTCAACATTTCAGCATTCCTATCCTTATTAGGCAACTTCAACGACTTTGATCAAATGTAAAGCAATTTTATTTCAACTTTTTAATTAAAAGATAGACCGCCCCCACTCTTTTCTATATTCTTGGTTCATATGCATATCATGAATCATCATTAGATATTGGTAGTGACCAGTTAAAACAATTTCAAATAGGTTATCGTTATAGAGGTACACAATCCGATATGTCACCGGCTTACGGTGTTACGTATACCCTTCAAGATAACATAGTTTTTTCCTTTTACTACCTTTCATTATGCAAACCTAATTTTAACCACTTCATCTTCTATTTCAAAATCTTTCTTCCATTCAAGTTTTGATGTTCTCTTTATCTGTAACTTAGTTCAAATGACATTTATCATGATCATAAAATAACTCATCATTTAACATGTATATTAATTGTTCTAGCTATTTCCACCTTTATTGGTGATGTTGTTTGTTTCCCCTCTATGATTTCAACATTCACCACTTTGTCATTGAAAAACCATTCAGTGTTTTAACATATATATGTGGTGATTGGAACAATTAAAATCAAGCATTTTATCCACTTAGCTGTGAAAGACATCTCTGGTATTTAATCAGCACTCAACATCTTTCATATGCCCTTTTTTGTATGCTTGGTACAATCAGCTTCTGTATGTTAGACTTTGATATCGATCGATTAATTTTCATTTGCTTTTGGTATTGTCACTAACCTTCCTCTAGCCATAAAAGTTCGTGTTATGAGTCGATTATGAAAACTTTTGTTGATTGATGCATCTTTGAAGTGAGTCTCCATTCATTGGAGGTGATGGTTTCCTTCTTTAAGAGTATACTACCACTAGTTATCAAAGACAATAACTGTTCATAAATTTTGTTAGGACTTAGGATCTAAAATTTTTCATGAGTTCAAAATCTTTCACATATAAACAATCACATAAATATATCAAGAAGCACTAAATACTATTGCATAGTAGGAAAGACAATCATAAATATTACGTTAGATATGTGCAGAGAACCTAAGATGGAAACTTCTAGAAACCAAAGTTGGAGGACTGCTCAAGTGCTCAACTTCCATTAACAGTCCTGACAAATTAAGTATTAAAATATCTGTTGTATTATGCAACAATAAATATTTATTTTATTTCTTCATAAAATAAAGGGATCTTAATATGGATTCAATTGTTTAAACAAGTATTGTATACTTGTGTTCTTTTCATGCTGAATATAAGTATTATAATATCTGTTTGTAAACAAAAACGTTGAAATGATTAACATTTTGAAATGCTTTAGGATATTAAATGGTTGTTATTTAGTACATTTAACATGTTAAAGCAAAACGGTAACATATCATAAAACTACCACGGAACAGCTAATTTAAATTAAATGCGTACTTATTTTGGGGCTCAACTAAATTCAAAATATTTTTCCTTCATAATATTTTTTCAATTAATTGCTTTTATTTAATGAATACAACAAAGCCTAATTTAGAACTTTCATAAGGACAATTTAATTTCCTGAGCCGGCTCTAGTTTTTGGTGGCTGATAAGAAGGTTTTTGGGAAGTAAAGGATAAGGTATCTAGCAGAATGTTGAGGTAGATGAACCCGTGGCTCGATGAGATCAACCAATAAACCCACATAAGAGTTAATACTCTATAATTAAACTTTTCTTAGATTGCTTATTAATAAAGATGGACTAATGAAGAGAGGGGTGAGGGGGGAGAGTAATGTGTCAAAAATAAGAGAGGTTCATTACGTGGAATCCCTTCTAAAAAAGGGTTGCAAGATTTCTTTTTGGGATGATTGTAACAATAAAATCGTGTGAATTAGATCCAATATGTAAATTGGATCCAAAGCGAGGAATCTGCATGGAATTTATGCTCTTAGTCATAATCAAACTCTTGAGGCATTGGACAGACTCTGGATAGAGTGACCAAAGATAGATTAGTGAATTGATTATCAGAATGTCACATTTGGTTATTAGAAAGAACTTATTATGACCTTAGGAATTTTTTTGAAATCCATGTTCAATGCTCTGGGGTAACCGGCATAATCTATATAGAGTAATTCAGACAAATGAGGATAGTATGGAGCATCAGTTCTCAGGAAAGTGCATAGCCTGGATCTATTATGAATGGGAGGTCAAACCACATAAAAATTTCATTCATATACATAAATTTTTGATATAATATCAAGTTAAAGATATAAGAAAAATATATAAAATTTTAGTTCATATAAGCTGTGGACTTTCCAACTATTGATACCATAGCAAATGCTATGATAAAATGTTTAAGAACTTTGAAAATAATAAGTAAATTTTGGGTATGGTTAGTTACCTAAACTGCAAGGTCTACCCCGTATAAGTTCTCAAATCATGCTAGGATGAAGTTGATAATCATTGAACTATATATGTTTATAAGAGTTGATCGTCACATTGATAAATTCGAGTAATTATACTGTCACAACTAATTTGCAATATCATATGCCAATGAATTGATGATCAAAGTCAAATGACATCAGAACCAAACAATTTGCCTTTCTCAGAACCAAACAATTTGCCTTTCAAGTTTTTATAACGTTGATTTCTAATTAGTCTTTTATTACATATAGTTAAGGGAGAGTCGTAAGATTTAAGAAAATAATTGGTTATTCTGCTTAACAGATTAGTATTTTAATTAGTTTAGATACTTGTGTCTTCACTTATATCAGTAGTTAATTTACTCTCACTGTAAATATCTTGGGAAGCTACTGACACAAACTGAAAATATGAAAAGATAAGTTACTATTGTTAATTTGAGTACTTCGCTCAGTGTAAGTCAAAACTTTAGCGGCTCAAACATGGAGATCTGAGGTTCCAAGAACTCAAAAATTACAGAAAAAACTTGTTAATTAATACCTTGTAATTTTCCCAAGGTTTTCGCATGGACTTTTCCTTGATTACCATATATGTTGCCTACTAATGTATGAGCATAACAATCATAGAATCCAGACAACAACATGCAATAATTCTCTTCTAGTTGATATACTTTGCGGCCTTTATTATCTTTATCTTCAATTTTCTGTAACACATTGACTACTGATTAGCTGCAGCCTTTCTTATTGCATTGTTATGATTTTATGTTATATAGATTGAAAATATATATGCAGTCAATTGTGCAAGAATCTTACCATTTGATTGGCTTACCACAGCATGAAACAAGTTTTTGAACGATATAGCCACCTAAAAGAGGATCATCAGCAATTGTTGAATCCACCATCAGAAGTAAAGGTATACTGCGTTAACTACAATGTCAGCTTTCACAGTTAGATTTCCAGCAAAATTAAGTAGCCATATGTATTTGAGATGTTTTGGAAGCACCACAATGGACAAAAATATTCAATTCCAGGTCAAATGTGGGATATATCATATACTAATTGTGTAATAGGTTTCCTTTTATATTCTGAGTACATATGATATGCTCTGAAACTAAATCATGAATTTAACACATCATTAGCAAATAAACAACATAGTTGTATTAATTTTTAGTCTCCATCAAACAACATCCACGTGGTATATATATACTGTCTCTGCAAGATCCTATGTGAAGGGTATTGATGTTCACACTTGGGCATTACCGCAAACATGTTGCATTTCATGCCCGAATGTTTGCTTTAGTTTGGTTTGTTCCCAGATCCTTTCCCAATTAGTGTGTAATGAAAAATGTAGATTGTTCAACATCTTTGTTGCTTATCTTGCTTTACCTCATGTCATCTTATGGGCATCATTAGTTAATAAATAACATGCCACTTCTATGAAAATAAACAAAATCTTAAAATTACACATGTGGAGCTTAATTTGTGCTATTGTACTGCTAGTTTTGGAAAAGGAAGGCAGCGATGTTGGGGCAACAACTACACAATTTGCAAGAAAATCATCGGTAAATGTTCTTTCTCTTAGAGCCCAGAATTAGATACATGTAATTATGAAAAAATGTTAACAACATGAATTGACAAATAACATGATTACATTTTACGAATGTTAGTTATGTCAGCAGCAAACAATATACGAAAAGATTAATGACTCACAATAAACATATATCCCTGAACAATAAGAAAGAATGGCATAACAGAATAGGTTTCTCTAACAAAAAAATGATCAGCATCATGTAATTTATGCATGTTGCTAGCTGACCAATATTTATGGTCTTGATTTTACTCAATATTCATAGCAGGCTGTAAGAGTAGTTCAATTTAATACACACGTTATGCTTAGCATATATGTATGTAGTGATTTGCTTCAATGCTTGTGACCTTCATTCAGTTAAACACAACTATATAATAGTTTTAGGTTAATTTTGATTATTAGCAGGCTGAAATTATATACCTTGAAAATGAAGGCACCAGAAGATCATACTAAGCTCATTAAGAGAGAATCGAAATTACATATTTCCTCAGAATTTCAAAAAGTAAGTGTCACTGGCATAGATTGGCGCCTCAAAATCTTAGGAATAGCAAAAGTGAGCCTTCCTATGACTTGATTTCTGAAAGATAATCCTCGTGATGAAATCAATGTTTGTAATCAACAATTACTCAATCATCTGATACAAAATTAATATTAGTATTTGTTGCTGCTGTTGTCAAATCGGCATATTCTACTTCCAGTTTGTTGTATAATAGTGCGAAAATAAAGTAACCATAAAATAATGTCTTGTGACATACTGAATAATTATGGACAGAAAATAAAAACAAAGAAAAATAAATAGGACATCTTATGTAGCACACTCCCAGCTAATCAAATAACATTAGATACCAATATGATAGAGCTTATATTCACTATATACCAACGATTTATGATGATGAGAAACCACTGCTTCTTAATCTTTTTACTCGACAAATATTTCCCCTTTTTTTGCCAGTCAAACGTTTATATTCTCTCTCACTGGAACTCACTTTTGCCTTCTTTAGGTTCTTTAGAGAGCTTCACACGGCCCTTTTGTTGTTTATAAATTCTCTTTCACTAGCATGTGATAAAAACTTCGTCCCTAACCTGAATATATAAGTTCTATTGTCTAAAAAAATAAGACCTTATAGGAAAACCATTCCACATAGATAGAAGCTCATGAAGAATATCACAATGATGAAACTCTTTAAGAAGATCATCCGCTCTATGACAAATGGTTAGCTTTGTTGGAAATTAAGATGATGCACAGATACCAATTGTTGGAATTGGATATAAACAAATACTATATGAAGAATATCACACACACAAAGATACAACATTGACGTGATTCGACATAACTTGTCTACATTCATGGATAAGAAAAATCTACTATAATTTCATGAACACGATATATAAGAGTGTATAATACCATCAATCTAGTACATAAGACGGAAACAATTACAATTTCTAGGACACTCCACCTGTAGTGTTTAATAACCCCTGTGTTATCACATTCTCTCAATCTTCATTCTCTCATAATCATGAATTGATTCTCACCTCTATATTTGTATGTAGTATATGGGAAAACCAAATTCTAATAAGATTCATATTTTGTATCCTAATAGGACTCATATTTTAACCTCAGTTCCTACTTTAACTCAAAGTAAAATCCTAAACCAATTCTACTTTCCTAATTCAACTCACAATAGGAAAAGGAAGACAAATATTCCTAAACTCAAACTCCTAAAATAGGAATTTTCCTAAGACTTAAATTATGGAACTCATTAACTCAAACTTACACAGTGGCATGACTTTCTCCACGCTGTGGTGGTGAGTTGTTTGGAATTTTTTCCGGAACTCATCATCCTTCCTTGCCGCGGCGAGATCCTAGCTACAATTTCTTGTTTCTTCTTGCTTGCTTTTTCTTCTGCAGCAACATCTTCATCAACTACCAAATAGTGTTTACATTCCAACAAGTTTTACTCTACTTTCTTATTTATATGACAGACTTTTGATGGGGGAACAACTTTACGGTTTGAATGTCAAAGACCTACAAAATCTAGAGAATCAATTGGAAATGAGTTTGCGGGGCATTCGTCTCAAAAAGGTCAAAATTTTTCAATTTTTATCAGATTTATTAATTTTATAACTAATATAAAGGCATCCCATTTGAAATACAGTAGCATATGCATTACACTTAACATGTTCTTCTAATTTTCTGCAGGAACTAATATTAACCGATGAAATACAAGAGCTAAACCAAAAGGTCTTAATTAATTCTGAAATTACACCTTCTTCACTCTTTATCTTCTGTTAATAATCAATTAATTTGTTAGTACCAATTACCTTTCTTTTTTTTTTTTTTTTTAAAAAAATTTTCATCTCAGGGGACTATTATACATCAGGAAAATGTTGAACTTTATAAGAAGGTAAACCTCATTCGTCAAGAAAATATGGAGTTATACAAGAAGGTATGTATTATAATTAATTCAAACCGGAAAACTTGTTAATTATTTTAAATATTCATCTGAAACTGTAAAATGCATGTAAAGCTAATGACCAACAATAAGGCATACCATATCTCTCAGGTTTATGGCTCAAGGGAAGCGAATGAAACCAGCGGAAATGCCTTCATTCAATACAGTTTGAGCAATGGAGAAGATTCACATATCCCAGTTCATCTTCAACTGAGCCAGCCTGAGCAACGGCCTTATGATACATCAGAAAGAGCAACAAGTAAAGGTATATGAATAATATTTTTCACACCTTAGAGGAAGAAAACTAGGGACCAAATTAGTAAGGAAAAAAATATAAATTTGGTACGAATTAATTAATTTTTCTATTTCAACATTGATCCCACATATATTTTTTGAAACTGCAGAACTAAACTGAAGAATAATCTGACTGCGCCTCTCCCCAAAAATTATATGAGGAGAAGAAATATGCAACTGGAGAAAGATGATCCGGATATATATAACTACATGAAATGAAAAGTCTGACAATATATGTGACATCACATGCAACATAAGTAGCTGAAGTTATAAATGAAAGTGAAATACCCTGTAAAGTTGCAATTATTAAAGAGATCATAATATACTATTGTGAACATATATTGTTTCAGCTCTCAAGATGTCTACAATGTTGTTGAGACTAATTAGTTATAATATCTATATTCTATTCTTATTAAATTTTGGTACAAAGTCAACTTGAGTCTTTAACGACTTCACTCAACGAAAATTATTGTTAGAGAAATCATATTGAGATTAGTTAACATTCATCTAATGACTAGCTAGTGTAATTCTTACTAAAGACAGAACTCATACCCACCAAACTGTTGGTTTCTGTTGGAGTTGGTCAACTCACTTTGGTGTTTAAGTACCCATTTTAAAGTGCAGCGGAATATTTACCAAGTAGATTATACAAATCCAATTTGAACACATCAAACATAAGTGCGAAAAATAAAGAACACAACTATATACATGGTTCGGCTAAATTCACTTTTAGCCTACATCCATGGGACCTTGTCCAAATCGAAGCAATCCATTGAGTCAAAAGCACATTAAAAGATAATGTTCAAAGTTGATCTAAGTTATAATAAAAAGAACTCCCTGTTCAACTTTACACTTAGCACCACACTCTAAATCCTTAACGTATAGCAACTCCTTAGATATTCTTCACACTGGGAATACACCCGAGAACAGCTTGTAAAACACCAAGCTTCAAACACCGATGTCATGCACCAATGCCACACACCAGCATCAGTAAAGAAACTACATTCCAAGAGCCATCAAGTCTATGTTTGATATGGTGAGGTTTTGACACAAAATGGAAATAAACCTTGAGCCTTAAGAGAAAGAATACTCTAAGAAATTCATAGTACAACGAAACAAATTGTCAAAAGGTTAAATTTATACACACAAGAAAGAATATTATATAATGGAGGATTTCTTGCTCAACAATAGAATACCAAGTCAGCCAACAAGGGATTGACTAATGTTTATCCAAATAAGGAAAATATTCATTCTTTTGTTTTGGACCACAAAACAAGTTGGGAAAAGAGTTTTATTCCCTAGGACCACTTAAGGATACAATGACACATGTAAAAAAGGTCCTAAAAAGTAAGAGACAAAGATAAACAATATCTTTTTCACTTTATCAGACATGCAACTCGTGTTGGGTTGCAAATGTCTGTAGTGAGAGTGTAAGCACGACCTGTTGTGTACACACACTCGAAATGAAACAAACCAAGACACAAGTCTGGTAGTTCTGCGTGCACACACAAAACAGATGAGACAAGCTAAATCATAAGATTGGTAACCAGTGTGCACACATAACTGTTGTACACACATAACTCATAAGTTTGACAAATATGAATACTCCATAGTTTCTTCAACGTCTAGGAAAATATTTGAAACAAACTAGGATACTCTTTGGTAGATAAAACAACATAGAAAAAAAAACACTCTAATCTCATATTAATGAACTGGCTTACATAACCATTTTATAGGGGAATTGCATGCTTATTATTTGGATGAAATGAAAAAAGAAACTAATACTAAAAACCAACAAAAAATTAGCAAGTAGAAGTGGTCAAGCCTAATCTAGTCTCTAGCTAACATAGTTGTTGAATACCAGGACACAAAATTAATCTTCAGCTGTCATACTTGTTGAAAACTGAAGAGGTCCTAGAATCGAAAGCAAGAAAGTCGCAAAACTTTCCAGGAAGCCAAACAGAAAAATAATAGAAAAATAGAGAAAGTAAAATCTGCAAATTTTTTATATTAAAATCTAGAAAAATTCAATGCAATACACGTGAAGGCATGGTGCCTTTTTATATTAGTTTTAAACATGACTAGAGCAAGTGGCATTCCTAAAACAGTACACATGAGTGCTATTACAAATGTATAAGGTGCAAAAGAGTTGTAAATCTTAGCCACTCATCTTGATCTGAAACGTGATAATTTTTTATTGATGATGATTGTGGTTTTGTAGTTTTCCTTCTGATTGTAACATCCTCCCTCAAGCTGAGCAATAGGTTGCAAAAGCTTGTATAATCTAAAGCAGAACAATCAACTGCAATGCAATACTTCCAACACCTTTGATACAAAAGTTTGTAAAGACAAAGGTGATTGGTTTTGTTAAGTAGGCTTGTTACAGATGAATTCATTTTGACTTGAAGATGCATTGATTGATGAAGAGGCAGGTTCATCAAGTTGACTAGAAGAAGAGTGAGGGGACATAATCTCCTCCTTGAAACTCATAGGAGAGGCAGTAGTAGATTGTATGTCGTCCCTGAAACTGACAAGAGAGGTCAGATGAAGTTTATCACACATCATTTGGAATCGTGTGATAGGTAAAGGCTTAGTAAGTATGTTTGCAATTTAAAATTCAATGGCAATATACTGAACAACTAGCCTTTTTGAAAGAACCAAGTCTTGAACATAATGCACATCAATTTCCATGTGTTTAGTGCGACCATGAAATACAGGATTTGCAGCCAGTGCATTTGCACTTTTGTTATCACACCATAAGACTGATTGAGTAGGAATAGAGACTTGTAATTCTTGCAACAATTGTTGGACCCAAACAAATTCAGTGGAAGCTTGAGTAAGTGATCTATATTCAGCCTCTGTAGAACTTAATGTCATAACTTTTTGTTTGCGAGATACCCAGCTGATTAAGTTTCCAAAGACACAAGCACAAAAACCACTAGTAGACTTTCTATCATAAAGATCATTAGCCCAATCTACATCTGCAAAACCTTCCAGCACTGGGTTTTGAGAGGGCTAAAACTTGAGACCAACATGAAGAGTACCTTTACTATAACGCAAGATTCTTTTGCAAGCAACCCAGTGAGACGCAGATGGACTTTGAAGGAATTGACTTAGTCTATTCACAACAAAGGACAAGTCTGGTCAAGTCATGGTTAAATACTACAGGCTGCCAATAACAATTCTGTATAAAGTTGGATTTTCAAATAAAACACCATCATCTTCAACTAACTTGGTGTTTGCAGCTATAGGAGTTGAGCTAGCATTGACATCAAACATTCTAACCTTTTTGAGTAAATCAGCAGTATACTTAGTTTGATTTAAGTGGAAACCAGCAATAGTTCTTTCCACTTCAAAGCCAAGAAAATAACTCAATTCTCCTAAGTCTTTTAAGGCAAAAGTTTTGTGTAATTCATGAACTAACTACTAAATGTAAATGAAGTCATTGCTTATAATTAAGATGTCATCCACATATACCAGTAGATAAACAACTTTTGTAGAAGAATGATGAATAAACAAGCTTCTATCTGAAGAAGAGTTTTGGAAATTTGTGTCTAACAAAGCTACTTTGAGTTTTTCAAACCAGGCCCGAAGGGCTTGCTTAAGGGCATACAAAGCTTTGTTCAACATACATATATATGAGTAGGCTTATTTGGATCTATAAATCTAGCTGGTTGTGTTATGTAAACTACTTTTATAAGGTCTCCATTAAAGAAGGCATTATTGATGTTGATTTGCTTAATTTTCCAATTGAATTAGACAGCCAATGCAAGTATAATTCTGATACTACAAGGCTTAACCACTTGAGCAAAAGTTTGAAAGTAGTTGATTCCTTGAGTTTGTTGAAACCCCTTAGCAACTAATTGGCCTTATACCTTTGAATGCTACCATCCATGTTGTATTTGATGCGAAACACCTATTTGTTATCTACCAAAGTCATCTGACTCTCATAGGGAACTAATGTCTAAGTGTTGTTGACTTGCAAAGCATCATACTCCTGCTTCATGGCTGAGAACCAATATGGAGAATTCAAAGCTTCATGAATATTTGAAGGTTCATTGGCTGTTATTGTAGGAAATGTTACTGCAACGAGAGCATTTGTCTTGCTCTTTTTGAGAGTCTTGGATCTAGTTAGCATAGGATTATTATTGGTAATTGTGGGCTGTGAAATTGATGAACTTTGAGTCAGAGGAAGTTGAACTTCTGAGTGAATAGTTTGAACTGATGTTGATGCATTATTGTGCACAATTTCGTACATCCCTGGAGATTGATTTTCTGCTGATGTTTCAGCATTATCAGAGACTTCATTTTCAGGATTCTTGCTTTGAGATTGATTTGAAGATGATGTTGCTAGATTACCATCCGAGAGCTTAGTCATTGAATCTGAATTACTAACTGTAGTAGTTGAAAACCAATAGAAGGACTGGAAAATCAGAAGAAAAATCAGTACGTAAGGCACATCGAAATTGCTAGTTGGAAGAGTACATAAGTAACTCTTTTGGTTGTTGTTGAGGGGTTGAAATGGTAAGTTGTACATCTTTGGATGGAAAATTTGTTTCATCAAAGTCCACATGCTTGGAAATGTAAACTCTTCTTGTCTCACTTAGACACAAATAACCCTTGTGAGAAGAGCTATACCCAATAAAAATGCATGCTTTGGTGTGATAATCTAGCTTACAAGAGTTGTATTTTCTTAAGTAGGGAAAACATCTACAACTAAAGACCTTTACCAAATTATAGTCAGGAGCCTTGTGAATTAATTTCTCAAAATGAGATAAGTACTAAAGAAATGGAGTTGGCAGTCTATTTATCAAGTAAACAACAGTATGAAATGCATGCCACCAGAATTGAAAGGGCATTGAAGACTGAGCCAGCAAGGTTAAGCCAATTTCTGTAATATGCCGATGCTTCCTCTCAACTTTTCCATTTTGTTGATGGACATGAAGGCATGGATGTTTGAATTTAATGCCATGGGAGTTTAAGTAAGGTAAAAAGTATTGAAATTCACCTCTCCAATCTGTTTGAATGCACTTTAGTTGACTTTCAAATTGTCTTTCCAAAAACACATGGTATTGTTTAAAAATATCAAAGGCTTCTGACTTTTGTTTTAATAGATATATCCAAGAGTACCGACTGAAATCATCCAGAAAAACTATGTCTGTATCCTTCCTTTGAAACCACTAGTGAAGGACCCCATAAATTAGCAAAGATTAATTCTGATGGCGTTGTACTGATTGTTGCATATTGAGAGAAAGGTTGTTGATGCAATTTTCCTAACTTACAACCTGAACATTTTTGCAATATTGATTTTGAAGCAATACACTTTTTATTTAATGTATTATGTACAACAGCATCAAAGATCTTATAATGAG